AAATATAGGAGTTGTTCAACTATCAACACTCTTCTTGTCAAACCATTATTGAATGTTGCATTGGAGTGTTAAAACCAACATTTTTTTTATTTTGAAATTAATTACAAATTATCCACTTAGTAGACAAAGATAAATCCCTACTACATGTTGCTTAGTACATGCCAGTCGTATGCTTTGGATAGTTTTTTCTCACAATATTCATCATAGGATGTTGAATTTTAAGATGTGCTGATTTCAAGCGAAGATTAAGAAGTCATAATTTGACGCTAGTCAAACAAGTCGAGTGGGACAAGCTAGTGACAAATTCCTATACAAATATAGAATGACTAATCAGCGGCTCACTTAATTTTGTAGATTTATTTTGTTGTTTTAATTTTCTAATCGTGTTTGTTTCTGCAATCAGTATTTATGAATGGAACCTTAATCCACTTTCCATTGAATCGTTTGCTACAATCTTATCATTTACAACCACGTTATATAATTCTCAATTCACGTTGTTAGTTTTATTTTCTTATTTCCTATTTTTACCAAGTCAATCTATTATTTATTTGTATTTCATTTTTGTAAAGGGAAATTTGTAAGATTTATCAATTTTAAAATGTATATATTATTTGATAATATATTAACATAAAATGTTGTATTTAACTGAATAATTCAATTCATTGAATCAAATATCACAAAACAATTTCTTAAAACTTCAACCTAAAAGTGTTTTCTAGTTTCTTGTTTTGAGAAATACATTTTTACGGTAAATCAAACATGTTTTCAGTAATATTAAAATATATTCTCAAAGTAGAAAACTAAAAATAAATTTAAAACTCAAAATTAAAATACAAACCAAATGGGACCTTAGGAGTCTGAATTAAGAACCATTTGAGTCCTAGACGGTTCTTGGTTCTTGAATTGAAACTATTGGTGCCTAATCTTGGAACTAAATTTATCTTCTTTATGAGTTATTTATTTATTTATTATTTTTCTTTTTACAATTTATTCATCACGAGCCAATGACCTGACCTGACATAGGTAGCAAGTTTGCAAGGCTCAGTAAGTAACAAGTACTATAATCAACCAGATTTGTTCATTTAAATAATTGAATCATATCACTCTTGTTCGTAATCACTATTGATTACACTTCACATGTATCTTGCTCTACAAATCAATCTTACTGCGTTGCACATAGAGCCACAACTAGCATAGGAGAGACTCATCATTCATTTCTCACCCACGCCACCGGATCCACCACCATGGCATCAAAAAATGGAAGAAATTTGATTGATAAGATGTGATGAAGTTAAAAGATGATAGATTCGGTGACCCGAGTATCTTTGATCATCTAATGTTATATAATTTTTCAATTGTGAAATATTTATGAACCAAAGGGAAGACATTTGGTGGCATATTCTGGCAGACATTGGATATTATTTGGTTGCATATTTACAGTTGATTAGAAAGCATTGAGATATTTATTTGATGGTACATTTTATTTTATTTTATTTTTTTCTATTTTTGCTAGTGTCAACTCTATGATTTTAAAAAAAAATAAAATGTAATGGGTAGAATTGAAATCGACAATTCGAGTTTGATTTCAGTAATTACATAAATTAAAATTATTTCATTTACGAAATATCTGAAGTGTTATAGACGGTTACGAGTGTTGAAATACCTGAACTGACAAACCCGGAAACCTAAACCCAACCAAAATCACCCTTTAAAGATTGTTCAGAATAATCTCTCATTATTTATCGAGGATATTTATTTTAGTACATTGACTCAAGATATTATCACTCAAGCACATTGTCCAACTTTAAATATTGAAGTTTCATTGTAGTATATTCAATTGAAAAAAGCGAGGCAAGTTAAGCTCATCAAAGCCCCTTTGAAGTAATATAAAGCATTTTCTTCAATTGACAGCCAACATTAAAAAAATTTCTTAGAAAAATAAATCCATTATTATATGTACAGTGTTAAAGAGGCTGTTTTATACACCCATCTTTAATATTGATTAATGAATGTAATTTGGCTGCCGAATCCGTGTATGTGCTCTGCTTCCATGCATAATCTGGGTTTTTTTTGTTCTACATAAAGACCAAAAAAGAGGAGGCACCTAACCATATACTAAACTAAAACAACTAACAAGAAAATATCATAAAAGGTTTCCGCGTTTATGTTGAATTTGTTAATGGTTGAATCACTATTTGTTTCACCCCACAATAAAACGAAGTCCATATTTTCTTAAGGGCCAAACAAATCTTGGATCTATGAAATTCAGTAATATTACTTATGGATTGTTTGGCCCCGTTTAAATGCATGGTTTTCAACTTTTAATTAGTCTTTGAACTTAAAACTTTTCAATTTATAGTTACTAAGTTTTATAATGTCCATCATATTAATCATTTAATGGTGAGATCCATGCATATTATATAGTATGCTTATGTGATGTGATGGTAGACGTTAATTGTCTGAAAATATGAATGTTCTCTTCAAGTGGAATATATCATAACTAAAATAAAAGAGTCACTTATTGTGGCACTGTTTCTATGGAGTCGTGCCCAGTAACTGTTTACCATTTTTTTTTAATTAAACGTTATACTACTTTATTGACTTTCACATGCAATCATCATTTTCATTTCTCTTTCTTTTCTCTGTCTTTTCTATTTTTTCAAACAACTGTCCACGCTCTTTACTCTACTTCCCTACACAACCAAGACTTCTTTTTTCTTCTCTATTTTAAAGATTTTCTAATCAAAAATTTATTTGTCCTTTTTTCATTAAATTTACAGTACAAAACGATATCGTTTCTCTACGTTGAATGGCAAAACGATGTTGTTTTATTTCATTAATATGATAAAATAATGGAATATATCTTATATATAATTATAGAAAAATATTAATAATTTAATTAATAATAATTAAATCTTGATCAATGTATGACATGTTCACTCATTACTTTAATGTTTGAGATGAATTTTTTTTTTCAAAAAATGGAAAAAATTAAGATAATGACTAAAATTGAGAATTCTAATTTTAAGGATTATCCTTTTCAACTGCATCTAGATGGTATTTCATTATGCAAAAATTTAAATGTTAGAATATTGAACAAGAGATAATGGAATAAAGCATAATCTCAAAAAATTAAACGAACCAAATTGTAACTATTATTTTACACCAATATAATAGTAAAAAAACTAAATGATTCAACAAATTAAAGAACAAAAAAAAATTGCAGACAAAAATTTTAAAAAAAAAAGTTATTACAAACTTTTTTTAAATAAATTGAAATAACTAAAATTAAAAATTAATATTATTTAATTAAAATTGAAAAATTATGCTTTATCATAAAACAAAAAGAATTAAAAAGAATTTTAAATCTGAAAAAAATATTTATAATATGAAGAAAATTTTTTTTAAAAGAATTTTAAAATTATATAATTAAAAAATTAAATAAAAGAAGTTATGAAAATTAAATAAAGAATATATAAATATTATTTAATTAAAATTGAAAAAATTAAGCTTTATCATAAAAAGAAAAGAATTAAAAAGAATTTTAAATTGAAAAAAAAAATATTTATATTATGAACAAAACAAATTAGAAAAAAAATGGAGAGTTTCTTTCCATAACATGGAGAGAAGTTTACCTCTCCATCACACGGAGAAATTATCTTCGTTCCTGATTTTTTTTAAATTTTTAAATTTTTTTTCATATTATAAATATTTTTTTTCAATTTAAAATTTTTTAGTTCTTTTTTCTTTGTGATAAAACTTAATTTTTTCAATTTTAATTAAATATTATTTATATATTCTTAATTTAATTTTCGTGACTTTCTTTTGTTTAATTTATTATTATTATTTTTTTGAAAATTCTTTTAAAATTTCTTTTTCCTTCATATTATAAACAATTTTTTATTCGATTTAAAATTCTTTTCGTTTTATGATATAAATAATTCTTTTTTAATTAAAACTTCATCAATATCTATATGAACCTCTATTTATTTTGTCCAATGTATTTCTACTGAAATTTTTATCGATAAAATTTTATATTTACCGATAAAAAAAGTATTGATATCTTGAACTCTAAAACTCATCAAGTAACAACAAAGACATAGCTCGACTAATTATCATCATATCTTTTCTACGCTATTATATACTCAATTACAGTATTTCATAAGCATTGAAAGTGCATTTTATGCCTCTATATAAAAGAGAAGATGGGGGGGGGGGGTACTGTTCATTTGTGGTACGCGTACACATTCAACCGGTTTTCAACGATTTTCCTTTTTGTGTGTGTGTATATATATATATACTCTTTTATATCCCTCGGTCATTTTGAAAAAAATTATCTTCATTCTCAAACATTTGTCCCGTTTTCACTTCTACTCTTCTATCTCCCTGGGTCATTTTGGTGCTTTTTGGAATCGTAAGAAGCATGTGGTATTTCTTCCCTACAGTTCTAATTTTCATGAATCAAATATTCCTACAAAATCTTATCCTATTCAAATGAACAAAGAATTGTTAGACTTTTGTATCAAGGAAATCAATGATTTACTTGATAAAGGTTTAATACGTCCGAGCAAATCTCTTTGGAGTTGCTCAGCGTTCTATGTCAATAATTCGAATGAAATTGAACTCGGGGCTCCACGTCTTGTTATCAATTACAAGCCTCTTAATAATATTTTTCAATGGATTAGATATTCACTTCCTCAAAAGAAAGATCTTTTGAATAGATTATTCAAAGTTGTTATCTTCTTAAAATTTGATATGAAGTTAGGTTTCTTGCATATTCAAATTCAAGAAGAAGATAAGTACAAAATGCATTCAATGTTCCTTTCGATCAATACGAATGATATGTTATGCCTTTTGGTCTAAAAAATATTCCTTCTAAATTTCAAAAAATCATGAATGATATTTTCAATCATTTTTCAAATTTTATCATTGTTTACATTGATAATGTTCTTATATTTTCTGAAAGTATAGAACAACATTTTAAGTGTATCAATACATTCATGCATGTTATCAAGAAAAATAGTTTAGCAGTTTCTGTTAAAAAGATTGTTTTGTGTCAAACAAAGATAAGATTTTTAGGTTATAATATTCAAAATGGTTCAATTATTCCAATTCAGAGAAGTTTAGATTGTACTGAAAAATTTTCTGATGAAATTTTAGACAAATCTTCTCTTCAAAGATTCCTTGATTGCTCAAATTATGTTGACGACTTTATCAAAGAGATAAGGTTAATTTGTACTCCTCTTTTCAGATAAGGTTGATTTGTACTCCTCTTTTCAAAAGACTACAAAAGAGTCTGAATCCATGGTCTCACGAGTGCATATTAGCTGTCCAAAAAATAAAAAAAGCTGTAAAAAATATTCCATGTTTATCAATTCTTGACCCTACTGCTTCAATAATTGTCGAAACCGATGCCTCTGATTTAGGCTTTGGTGGAGCTGTTAAAGCAGATTCCAAAAGAGTCAAATCAAGAACAGTTGGTTAGATTCCATAGTGGTATATGGACTGGCCTTTAAAAGAGTTATTCTACTATCAAAAATGATAAATTTGAACAATAAAAGGGGTACCAAGAATTACATCTTGATCTAAATCTTTAACAAGATAAAAAATATTTTTGAAACAAATATTTGAATTACAAACATGAGCTTTTGAAAGTTTATATTGAATGTTGAGTTTCTTACCACTAGCACCATAAAGACGCTCAATAGTTTTTTCAAAATATTTTGTACGTATCAATCCTTCAAGAATACAATTTTGATCAGCTCCAGAATCAATAAGGACTCTAGAAGTAAATTTGAATTCTTTGTTAACTACAATAATCATATTACAGTACCATTTTTGAAGTTGAACACAATTAATGACATTAATCATTTCTTCTTTGGATTGAATATTTGAAGGAATAAGAGGATTTGATTCTTCACCAGAAGAACTGGAAAAAGATGATTAAGAAGGAGTCTTTCACTTTGACAGTTGACTTCTTATCTTGAGTTTTGAAAAGAGAAACTTCCATTCTAACATCTTTCATTTGACGTTCAGGAATAGAAATTTGAGACTTCATGGAATTGACTTCTGATTTTAAATCAGAACTAGAAATTTTGAAGTTTCAAAACGATTTAAAACTTTTTGCATATTGAAAGGTTCAGCTTTTGAATTTGAAGGAAGAAGGGAATTAAACTTATTTTTGAACTGTGGATCATCAATCTGATCAATAATCTCTTTAATAAGTTCTTCTTCTTTAGTAAGAACATTTATAGTTTTACAACCACAAAGTTCTTTACTTTGACTTGAAGAGGATTGAGAATCTAAACTAGATTTAGCATCTGAATCTTCTTGGCGTTGATAAATATGTTCCAACTCTGAGTTTAACTCATTATCAGAACTGGAATTTGAATCACTAAGATTGAAAAGTTGAAACTTAATATCTTCATCAATTTGAAGATTATTAATCTTGCTTTTGAGATGACATTTATTAGAATAATGCTCAGATTTTTGACATTTCCAACAAGTAAAATTGTTTTTTCTTGAAAATATTTTCTTTTGAAATTTCTTTTTAAAATAATTTTTTGAATAAGAAGGTTTTTGAAAATACTCTTATTTTGAATAAACTTTTCTTTTTGAAAATTCTTTTCTTTTCGTTTTTGAAAGAGGAATCATTTTTTCAAATCCATATTGTTCACAGAATGATCCAAGTTCTTTGCGACTATCTAATCTTTCTGTTTGCAATTTGAATTTAAGCTTGAGTTCATTACAGAGAGCTAATCTTTCTTTGTTAATGAAGCAAATCAATTCTCCATATGAAAGAACATTATGAGGAATATTATTTGAATGTTCCTTTTTGATAGAATTTTTGACTCTTTCAGAATATAATTTTGGAAGTCCAGATAAAAATCTTTCTTTCCAATAAGTTTGACTACAATCTTTTGGTAAAAACACACGTGATAAAAACACGTCTTTATAAACTTGAACAATTTAAAGTTAATAAATACTTGAAATTTTTTCTAAAACATTTGTTGGAGATCCAATGAAATGTTTAATAATACAATAAATTATTGTATTAAAATAATCATTTGAACCATTAGGTTTTAGAGCTTGATCAATTTGAATTTTTTCTTGTTCAGTAATATAATTGAACCACCAATTATTAATTTGACCAAAAAATCCTTGAATAATATTGTTTGTTGCCTCAATTGGAGAAATTCCTTCTTTATTATAGGCGTTATAACAAGCACTGATACTTTCAAGAATTTCAAAAATTTGATATTCAGTTAAACCATTTATATTCCAGATAGTTATGGGGTGTTAAAGCAGATTCCAAAATGGTCAAGTCAAGAACATTTGGTTAGGTTCCATAGTGATGTATGGACTGGCCCTCAAAAGAATTATTCTACTATCAAAAAGGAAATTTTATCAGTAGTTTTATGTATTTCAAAAATTTAAGATGATTTAATCAGTAAAGAATTTATTCTCAAAACTGATTGCAAAGCATTAAAAAATGTTTTACAAAAAAATGTGAAAAATCTTGTTTCAAAGCAAATCTTTGCTAGATGACAAGCTATTTTGTCTTGTTTTGATTTCAAAATTCTATATATACAGGGAAAATCAAACTACTCGGTAGACTATTTCACGAGAGAATTTATTCAATCTTGAGAGAAAATTGTGAGTGATGGAATTCTCAAAAGTGGAAGGAAAAAAAGAAGAAAATTAATATTCCTCTTTTTTCAATTGAAGACTATATTTCTAACTCACATGCATCTTCATCCTCTCAAAATACTACCCTTGCTTCAAAATTAATCCCTAGTTCATATGAAATCAATGAGTCAAAAGCTACCAACTTCAAAAAAGCTGTTCAAATAGGAACTGGAAAATTGCCAGAGTTTAATCCCTCAAACAACTTCAAATATTTTACCAAAAATATTTATTATCCAATTCTTCAAATGGAAAGTTTATGGAAAAAATATTCTTCTCTGGAAGCTTGTCTTTCAGATATTTTTCCTCCTAACTTCCATTACTTGCCAAATAATATAAAAAAGAATCGTGAGTTCTATAAGGCTATTCTCACCAAAACAAAATCAGTCATTATTACTCACATACCAAAAGATTCCAAAGATCCAAATTTTTCAAAAATTTCAATTCTTAAGGCTTGGTCTTATGAAGATTGAGGACAAAAACCTTGGGATGAAAAACGTAGGAATTTACCTAATAGTAAATTTGAACATTTTAACTATCTTGATTATAAGATCGCATGGTTCAATGTTTTCTATATTAGACCAGTGACTTATTCCTGGTTTATTTTGTTCCATCAATCTTGTAATCCCATTTTTCCAAAATGGTTTCAAACATGGTTCATATACTTTGGCCTTGAAGAAAATATTTTGCCCAGTCTAACTCGTCAAGGATATGAATACTTCATAAGTGAGGCAAAATCCTTTTTACAGCCTCAAGAAAATCTTTTGTTCCAATTTGCAAAAAACTTCAAAGTATCTTGAATTTTCTGCTGGGATTTCTTGCTTCTCCAAGCTGAACAAGAATTTGCTGTCAAAAAGATTGTTAGAATATTCAAAATCAAGTGGTGGTCAAAATTCCGTAAAATAAATTGCTGCCCCAAAGCAGTATATTCATGGATTCAAGAGCAAAGAAATTTGGATTTACCTAAATTTTGAAAGAAAGAACAAGAAAAGCAAGCTGATTTTCTAACAGAAAAATCTAGATTATTAGCTATGCTATCTCAATGCAAAACTGCAGAAGAATTAACAGCAATTTCAGAGAAAATTGCCAATCTTGCTGAAGTTTCTTCAAAAATAACTCAATCAGATGCGTACTCAAACTATTTTCAAAGTACTAACAATGGTGATGATTGCTATGGGATTGATATGATGATCTCTTAGCTCGTGAAGAATAAAAATGACTACATGGACCAAATTATTTAGATGAATTATCCTCATATAGGGCCTAAAAATCAAAAGATATCATGTTCAAAATGTGTCTACTGCCTAATAACTTATTTCTACCAGCTTTACCAACTCTCAAAAAATAAAGTTGGAATGACTAATTTAAAGGTGGTTTCAAAATTCAAAAGTTGATGTCTACTTTTGCAAAAGAAGGAGACAATGGTTTTCAATCAAAGGTAAAAGCAAGTGGACGGTACAAAAGTTTCAAAATGAGCAATTATTCAAGATTCCTTCATATCAGAAGCTCAAGACTTCAAGTATAAAAGCAGATCAAGTGTTCAATATCTCTTCAAAGTTTATTGAGTGCATCTCTCTTTAGAGTTTATTCAGTATAGCTCTCAAGAGAGGTAATTTAGCGGAAGATAAATCACTATCTTTATTTTCAATCGTGTAATTCAAAGTTCATTTCAATATTTGTATTTCAATTTTTATATACCAATAAAATTATCTTCATTCTCAAACATTTGTCCTGTTTTCACTTCTACTCTTCTATATCCTTGGGTCATTTTGGTATCAAAGCCATAAGAGAGTGAGGTGAGGTAATAGTAGTTTACCATTATAGGCACTGTTTAAGTAGGAGAACCTGATTTGATTCCGGGATGTCTACTGAATAGACGTTAGTCAGCCCATTGTTAGCTGGGGAAGGCTTGTTAGGGCGGTCCCGTTTGTAGGCTTGGTAAGAATCAATCTATCTTATTTAACTGCTTTTATTGTGGTAAATTATTATAATTTCACTGAATTTAATTATGTCCTCTTTTTCAAATGGTTTCAGAGGTCTAGAAATAGATATGAAAATATTTCAAATGTTTTTAATGATGAAGAAGAAATTGATCAATCATCTGCATCAAATGATTTCAATAGTCATGAACTTCAAATTGCTCAAATAGAACAAAGATTGCATAACTGGACAATTTCAAAGGTAGAAAAGAATTCTATCTATGAAATTGGAAAGTTAGATTTTACTCAAAATTATGTTATCAAAACTTTTGAACAAACATTATCAATTAAAAATTAAAATGTTCATATCAATTTATTTTCAAAAGAATCAATTGAATCCTACAGGAAGAAATTCAAATATCTTCATGTTGGAGTAGTTCAAATTGTTGTCAAACCTTTGTTTAGACTTGGGTTAGACATTTCAATTCTCTTAACTCTTTGAGATAAGAGACTCCTTAAATTTGAAAATTCATTATTATCCGTTCTAGAGTCAAATCTAGAAAGTGGCTCAATTTATTCAAATTATTATCCAAAATTTTCGATTAATCTCAATGATGGAGCTTTTCTTAATGCTCTAAATCTCCATATTCGAACCAAAAATCT